AGGTTTAAAAACGAGCAGGGCAGCCTAAAGCCCACTGCCAACATTAAGACAGAAAAAAGAAAGAAAATAACAAACCATCAGTTCAGGGGTTTGAGAAAATATGGGAATCAGGAAATTATCTATAAACCAAACTGAACGATTGTTCTTTACTTCAAAAAACACTTTAGATTTTAAAATGGAACCTGGAACTAAACGCTATTTCTGACATTTTAAATTGAAAAAGTCTTCAAACTTGGAAACAAAATCAACTGCTTCTTTCTAAAATTAAATAGATTTTTTTTTCTGGACTGATACCAAGTCATCCGTCGTCTCTGTCAAATTAGTTAACTAGTCTTTGATTTCTTCACCCTGTAGGATTTGGGTTTTGTCCAAAGCCCAACTACTTTAGCAACAAGCCTAAACACCATTTTTAGCTTTCAGCTTAGTTTCATTCATCTTAATTGTCACCTTTACTTAATTGGACATAACCCTGGTACTTTTCTGCCTGAAATTAGCAGAAAGCAAGCAGAATTTGATTCATACGTTGAAGCTATACTTACTTCTTAGCTATTGCATAATGTTCTACATGTGTGGTTAAAGTCCATCAATTGATTAGATAAATGCACGCCTCATAGGAACATGAGATTGGTTTTTATCAATGTCCCGTGATTCTGACGATAGGTAGTGGAAAATAGCTCTGACTCAGGCGGTCTGAGATCATCCCTGATCAGAGCACAAACCGACAAAAAAAAAAAAACACAAAAATAAGGTAAAAACAACAACAAAGTCAGCTAAAGGTACTAAAACTTCCCACAATTAAAAACATTATTCCCCAATCAAGAACTTTATCTCATTGGAAAGGTTTAAAACAGAAGTTTCTAAATGTGTTTTTGTTTCATTTACTTCTACAAAGTTTATCAAGTTATTTTAAAATAAAGAAATTAATTATGTACAGAAAAACAAGAGGAATATCGTAGTTAATAAACCATATTTGTAATGGAAACTTGTATCACCGGAACAAGCAGAAAAAAAAAGTTGAAGTCCAGGTCATAATTCAGATGATAATTAACTTGTATTGACTGATGCCCTGTTGCTCCACCTTAAAGTACCCCACCCTAAGAACAATATTTAAACATCTCATCAACTTCCTCAGTCCCATTCAGTGTGATTGAGTTCATTCTGCGATAGAAACATTTCATCGCTGGGATCTCTATAAAGACGCTGATTAGTTTTATTTTAGGGTAGCGTATCCATCCACTGCAGGCATCATGTGCACGGGGGCATGTTCTAAGGTCATCGCTGTCTGTCTCTATGTTCTGGCTCTTATTTCAATCATCTGCAACATCATCCTCTTCTTCCCCGACTTTAAAACTGAATTTGCCAGCAATGACAGGGAGGACATTCCCATGCTTACACCTGAAGTCAAATATATGGGAGGTGTTCTTGGAGGAGGAATCCTGGTGAGTAGACCTGCTATTTCCTCTGTTAAGGTGGAGACCTTCTGATTTTTTATTTATTTACGTTAAATCATTTTAAATAGAAAAAAAAAAAATAATAATTCAAAAGCGCTCATTTGAACACCTTTTTTTTTTGCCTTGTGTATGCGTGTTCATCGGGATGTAGGGTTAGCGACATTAGCAGCCGGCCATGGTTGGTTTACCATCGTTTCGCGTTCTCTTAAACAATAGCTAAAAAAGCGGGAACACTAAATCCTTAGCTCAACTAGAAGTGGGTGTGGTGCGTAAGCAACTCTAGTTCTTCAATACAGTTCCACGCAGCAATTTAACTCAATGCAATTCAGTTTATTTCCCAACACATGTCATCTAAAGGCACTTTACAGTTTACAACTAGACTACTGGCTAACGCTAGCACCCTTCAACGAATGACGATAATCTTGCGGAAGAACAATTTGGAGAGCGATCCCTTCTGCGTTTTTCTGGATCTAATAAAGAGTCCAAACGTAAAAAACCCAAACCTATTTCACACTCCGGATTTTCCGGCAGGGTTTAACCGAAGCGCGACACCGACACAAGGTTAAATGGAAAAAAGTCAGCTTTTGGGGGGATGAGCACAGAGCAGTTTAGTTAATTTAAGTTAATTTATGTTGTCTTCAGCCAGGTAGGCCTAAAGCCATCAGGTTAGTAAGTTTTTTGCTAAAAATTATATCTTTAGGTGACTCCCGTAATTTAGTTCTTCAATTTGAGTCAAAAATCTGACATCCTCTTTTTCGTAGACTCTTGAACACGTGTTAGCAGATTCATCTTCATCCCGCATTAACTTCATTCCCATCAATAAGGATTGGCGTACCAAAAACTGCATTGCTTCACCAGCACAAAAACATTATTCTGTCTATCTTAAACTGGTTGGCAGGATGCTCACGATAAAGC